CTGAAAGGTAATTGAGCTGGGAGCAGTTAGGAGAGGTGTGTTCTTCCACATGAGTAATGATTTATTGTAGTAATGTAGACGGTAATCATACAGCACAAAGTAATTGTGGAGAGGGAGTTACGCTTCTCAACTCAGTGCTGCTTTATTTTGTAAACAGCTAATAGCCAAAATTTGCTGTGCTTTAATATTTTTCCCTTTAACCTTTGTTCTTGACTTGACTTGGTTATAAGTCAGATATTCATCATTTACTGTTGACTCAACCTCTCACAGAGGCCTGACATCAATCAGATATTACTGACATGTGTTGTCAAATAGCAATAAAATGCAATTATTAAACATGTGACCTCTGGCTTGGAAAGCTCCGTGTTGTTGATTTTAAAGGCTTACTTCTATGATGAGTGTGCTAATTTAAATCCCACTTGGTAGATAACAATGGAGTAAGGTCAGACTGTATAGTGTTGTTGGCGGTGAGTAAGCCCAACTGTTTTTTGTTTTTTTTTGGAAAATAAACGAAATAAATCCTGATCACAGATCTCTGCCAACGCTTTTTAATTCTCTCAGTTCGTTATTTAGATACTGTAAAATATCAACATTCTTCAAGTCCTCTGCTTAAATGTTTGTTGTTGCTGCTTCAGTGATCTATGAGGGATCTGCTGCTGGTGCTTCTGGTCCAAATGCAATTATGGGAATGACTTTATTTTACTTCATTTGAGAGAAAGCTATTCCACCGTGATTTTTGACCATTAGATAAACAAATGTCTCTGCAAGTGAATGAAGTCCTGATTAACAGCATTGGTTAGAATCATTTCTACAGTTTTAGTTTGAAAATTAAACAAAAAAAGGAAAATTCAGGTGGAAAAAAACATGAATTGGAATAAAAAAAAAAACTGGAGAAAACTGAAATAACTTTAATGTAATGTAATATGCTTTGTTCATATTGTTTAACATACTGCCATTAAAAATGTCTTAAATGTTAACATTTTTAAACATTTTAAGTATTTGAAGTACAAACAAACAAAAATAAACTGGAAATAAACATTCAAAACCAATGAAAACGACAAAACTACGACGACACACACAACAAAAGTTTCTCTTTGTAGGGATACCCCATATTAACCACATACGAGAGTGTTTCTATTTTAAAATATCACCAAACTGCTCATTAAAAGACAAAGACAGATGACTTTTAACCAGGAGAGCTGAGTGCACGATGCACGGGGGACTGTTGAGTCATTGCTGCTCGCATGTTTGGTTAAGCTTAGGCACTAAAATGTCTCAGATATGGAAGAGACTGTGATTTGGTTACAGACAGAACATTTCGTGATACCAAACACATGCTGGTTAGTAGCTGACAAGTTGACAACAGCAGCACATATTTTGCTGCTGAAGGCAAAAACAGCCTGTGGAGAATCAGCATCAAATACACACACAGTGACACGCTGGTAGACATTTTTATTGGGTTATTTTTCATCTACCCACAAGTTCAGTAGTCCGTGCAGTGACGACTTAACTGTTGTCTGTTTTTTTTCCTGCCAAATATTAAAACAATTGAAATAAAAGGTTCCTTGAAATAGAAAAAGAAGCTATGTGTCGAATAACAGACTTTTCATACACTGCAAAGGGGTCTTCAGAGTACCAGCATCCTTTATGTGTATTGTCTTTCTCACTATCATAAAGATTTGTATGAACATGCCTGACTTTAGTTCCCTCATTCAGCCAGCATCTACATATAAGTGAAAGTTGAGGAAAATAGTGGCCGGTGATTTCTCTCTTCGTTCAGGAAAGACTGGCTCTGATATCAGTCATCATCGAGCATAACATTTATTCAGGCAAAGGTGTAAAAGCTGTGGGCTTTAATTGAGTGGTTTCACCCTTTCTAGCAGATGTTGAACCTGCTGCAGGGATTTGAATTTCCCCTTCGGCTACAAGAGCAGATGATGAGGTCTTCAGTCAGCGTTCGAGTCCATCCTGCAGGTTTTTAATGGGACCTGGTGTTTAAGTTCTTCCACATCAAAGTGAGAACATTTTGTTTGGTTTTGTGCACAAAAGTGTTTGATCGCAATAGGTGAAACTGTTTTAAACTGTTTTAAAAAGTAAGACTTCGTAAATTAGCTCATGCGTCAGTTCAATAAGGAAGATCTGGATCCCTCATCTTCCTGTTTGCTCGGGTGTTCAGCTGCCAGTCTGTTCTTTACATCACTACCACTTTTCCCACGCTGTCAAACTCAAAGCTGTCATCATTTCATTAATCCAGTCGTTTTCTTTCCTGCCTTCTTTTAGCCAGTCAGCCTCCAGTTTGCATCCTTTATTCTTTCCCTCGTAAAGACGAGGCCTGGCGATGTCCATGGTACCCTTAAGGACGAGTTTTGAAACTTCAGTATACATAAATAAGGACCTGTTTTGAGGACTATTAAAATAGTTTCCAAGGGTAGCTCCAAAGCTAGAGACCTAGACCCTATACTGCAGGTGCCCAGTCCTAAATCCTGTCACCACTGGGATTCCATTCTGCCACAATGGATCATTGGAGTCTAATTGCCAAATACATTCATTGATTTCTCTGTCTCAATAAATCATGTTCAATTCTTCCAGATTAACTAACAATTGCTAGTTTGCTGAAATCATTAAGTAAATGAGGAGATTGATGATGCTACTGAAGGGTTCCCTATAAACATCAAAAATAGGATTGGTTGTAAGGGATTGTACAGCCTGCCTGTAAGATCACTAATAACCCAAACAGTTACCACCATGGACTTCTTAAGGTGGAGCAGTTCACCCTTTTATAATGCGTACTGTGCTTCTCAAACATAACAACAATACAGCTGCTGCTGAGAGATGGAAAAGCACTCTGGGAAGTTTATTTCTCACTTCCAGTTTGGATAAAAAAGAAGGTAGACTGTCGGAGAGCGTTATTCACATACAGTAATGAGTGATTTAGCCGGCTGTAATTAGTGACCATAGAGAGATGGATGTCTGCTAAATGGCTAAAACAGTTTTAAATTATGGTGTCATAGCACAGACGTCTTTCATAGACTAACCCATTCATTTGGACGAGATAATCCAGTGTCTCTGAAAACTGCTAAACTACACACACGTTAATCTAGGCAGATTAAATTTATTGCACATCTAATAATATTGGAGACAATGCTTTAACATAAGAATTCCTTTGCTTTGCAGGCAAGTAACGCTAAGTTATCCGCTAATCCTAGCTTGTTTGGGCTGCATTCATAAAGTTGAATGAGAGGAACGCAGAGATGCAGATACCTGCTAATTAGTGCTAAATAATCAACTGGAGCACACATTTCTTGGACAGTCTATTCTTTGATGGCTGTTTTAATCAACAATACTATTGAATATTCACTGGGAAGTATTAGACTGTACTTAAACTATCCTCAAATGTCCAGCACGTCTGTCTCCAGTGGATCTAATTTTTCATCTTTTGAACTTTTTGACAACTATCATCTTTTGATTTGCATATTTTTCCCTTTTTTGGAGGAACGTGTCATCTCAAAGACAGATGACGTTTACTGATCTGATGCCTGGTTGTTAATGAGTTCTTCTTCCATTACTGCCACCTTCTAGCTGTAGGAGCAACTTACATCCCCCTTGTACTGAAAAACCAAAGAAAAATATATATATTCAAGAGAAAACATAGTTGGTTAAACTTGAGTATTTTCTAACTAACTTAAAGGAAATGTAAACATTTGAAAATCATGGTTCTTCCCATCTGTACCTCAAGTTATTTTTCAGATAAACAAATAATCAATAACATGCACACGTGTATTTTTCAGCAGGTACTGTATTTAACCTGCACGGTTGCCTTAACAGTCTCCTGCAGGGCGTGAGAGGTGTTGTCCAAAATGGACATTATCTTGGCCAACAGATTTCTGGAACACTCTGTAAGCATGTCAAAGGAGCTTGCAAAGAAAAGCGTCTGGACTTCTTTAAGTTAACTTCCTTAATTCTGTAAGCATGTTTACTCGGGAGTTTATGAGTATTGACTTTTTGGACTTAATTTTTGACTCTTCACATTTTCGTATTTCATTTTAATTTCCCAGCTCGGTGTCTTTATGCTTTACCACCTTGTTGGTTTTGTCTTTTTCATAGAGATTATTAGCAATACCAAATCAGATCAAACATCAGTGCAGAAAGGTGGCAGAAATTTGCCCTGACTGGGTCATTCAAATACTTTGCAGGGTCACACAGGGTCGTACTATGGAACGTATCAATTCATGGGCTCTGACTGAAGGTGACGGATCAGTGCATAAACGCTCTCAGTGTCTGCATCTTCAGGAATCAGAGTAATGCTGACCTGAGCACTGGCTTCCTTCCAGATCAAGTAAAAATGGCAGCTTGTTAATCCAGTGTCTGTGCATTGCTTTAATCCCGGTCCTGGGTACATGCCAGCAAACTCTGCAAGTGAGCCTGTGGGGCTGGTTTTAGGAGCTGCCTGGCCCTGCATCATTAGTATGTGTGAAGTCACTGTAAACATTTGATTAATTGCTGAGAAGCAATTACAAGCAATTAAAGTCCTATTATGATGGCAGTGAAGGACAACGCAAGTTAATCTGGCTATCATCACGATAATTAGCTCATCATTTCCTCACCAGGCCTAATGTACAGAAAATAATAAATAAAAAGGGCAATTTTTGGTTTTCTTGCTTCAGCTTTGCTACAATGTGTGGTCATTTTAAGCAACGCGGCCTTTGTGTTTTGGGGCATATCATTCTCGCTGTGTAAAAACGACGTACCATTAAACCTCTCAAACTTCATTAGGCACACTTTGCGGTATCACTTGCAAATCTTCGCATGGCGACTGAGTGACAAAGCATTTTCTCTCTCTGTTCTGGTTCTAACCAGTCGGTTTTGTGCTTTGAGCATTTCTAGTGTGGCATTTGCAGAACAAAAAGTCTCACACTCAGTCGTTCTTTTTCTCCCTCTTTCACCCTCCCTGCCCCTCTTCTGTCTCCTTTACTCTTTGTTTTTCTTTCCTCCCCCTCTAGCAACAACCAAACTACTGGAGCTTCAAGGTCAGTGCCAATATTGTGTTTGTGTTTCAGCGTAAATCTGTGCCTCTGTGTGGATTCGTCTCTTAATAGGATAACTCCATTGTGTCTTTGCATGCCTGCTTCTCCACTGCATTAGCGCTGGTCACACGTTGGCACTCACTTCTGCATTTAACTCTTTTAACACTCTTGTGCTGCATGCTGCGACATTTCTCCCTCAGAGTGTTCACATAAGAAAGAAAAAATCCCTGCATGAATCAAATAAGTGCTTTGGTTCACTTTAAACTATGCAAGTAAGATTTCTGATATGCAATTATTGAACACAATATGCCTGTTTCATCAAATATGAGGCAAGAAAAGGTCCAGTTCAGCCTGAGAGCTGCTGGCTGGAGCTTAACTTACTGCTGCTGCTCGCTAAAATTTCCCTATAAAAAGGCACTGTACCAAGCTTGTTATTGGCTGTCTCCAGACCTGCAGATCCCTGCCTACAACTCCCATGTTGTCTGTAATTCAAATTAGGCCTGGTGTTGGTCTCTGATGGTAAAACTAAATCAATGAGAGTTTAGCAGGCAGGATGTGCAGTGGGATTGTCATTAGTGACAGAAATATGGATCAGATTGATTCTGTTCTGCAGGTTGTGCAGATGAATTATTCACCCGTTTGATTGCTGTGATAAATATTTGTTACTTGCATCATAACTAAAGCTAAGATTCCCACAGATTGAGATTTGATGTATGATATGCAAATATGTGCACGCATGTATGGGGCTAGTTTTGCTGTGCACAGGGTTTTTATCAGCAGTCTTTAGATATATTACCTCTGTGAGTTTCTTCTGTGCAGGTAATGTAAGTGCCACGCACTTTGTGACAATCAATATTTGAGCAACAGAATTAGCTGTTGCTCCATCAAGTTTTATTATCTTGTGAAAGAACTTTATCGCCAACATTTTGGACCTCATCTGTTGAAGGTAGTCTAATTCGCCAAAGCAGAGCGAGGGCTATGATAAGCAGCTGCAAGATGGTGAAGTATAGGGAGTAACTAATTCAGGACCGCCACAATAGCAATGTGGCCATCGGGGAGGTTGGTAGACAATACAACAGCAGTCCCCAACCTTTTTTGCGCCACAGACCGGTTTATGTCCGACAATATTTTCACGGACCGGCCTTTAAGGCGTCACCGATAAATACAACAAAATAAAACCAGTACCAAAACATAGAAGATTTATTCATAACACACAGGAAAAGTCCCAGGGAAACCAAGTTAACGATAAAAACCGTTAAAAACCGATTCACACCCAAGCCTCAACTCTTGTGGACCGGTACCAAACAACTCACGCACCAGCCGGGGGGGACAGCTGCGATACAAGACAGCTGGTTTGCAACCGAAGGCCAAAAGGGTTGTTTTTTTAGTAACATAGATAACTTCATCCGTTCTCTGAGATGGATAAAGAAGATCTAAGTCTATAAATAGGGGTATCCCACCGAAGTAAAGTCTGTGTGTAGGAAACATGAAGTGCGATCGTGGCTCAAGAGTTGGGAGTTCGCCTTGTAATCAGAAGGTTGCCGGTTCGAGCCCCGGCTCCGACAGTCTCTGTCGTTGTGTCCTTGGGCAAGACACTTGACCCGTTGCCTACTGGTGGTGGTCAGAGGGCCCGGTGGCGCCAGTGTCCGGCAGCCTCGCCTCTGTCGGTGCGCCCCAGGGTGGCTGTGTGAATGGGTGGGTGACTGAATGTGTAAAGCGCTTTGGGGTCCTTAGGGACTAGAAATTGCACTATACAAATACAGGCCATTTAAATGAAGTGTCAGATCGGTCTGATTTTCAGCCTAAGCCTGACAGGTTGTTGACAGACACAAAATTCCTGGATTCAGACTCTGAATCTTAACGACTCTGATGATATTTGCACAGATGCACGTGTACCTGTAGGCAGGGCACAAGGTTTTTAGCACCAGAAGCTTTCTGGTTTTCATTTCCAGTCCGCTTTGTTGTCAGACTTCTTTTGACCATTTGTGTTTGAGCAGCCTCAAAGGTTAACCAGCAATCTTAAAATGTATCTGCATTCATGAACGATGCCTGGTGGTTGGAGTGGGAGGTTTTGGCCCGTGTAAATTTTTTGCTTTTTTTAATTTGTGGTTAAACTCCTTTATTTGAAAAATAGTCTCATTGAAGCTTTTATGACTACAGTGATGTCTGTGTACTGATAGTGTTTTGGTTGTACTGTGGGCCAGCTGCTTGTAGATACTGCAGAGACATAATGTCTTTCCTTATCTGGACAGTTGGAACAGGGTCATGAAACTGCATGATCACAGCTGCTGCAAAATGTCTCTCCCATTCTCCTTGATATCGAGACAGTTCCCACAATAATGTTTGCTTCAATTCATCTGCATCTCCTCAACAATTATTTCTGCACGAGGTTAATCCTGGACTCATTGTAAATTCCATAACAACCTTGATACCTGCGGGCTATCCCAGAAGCCCTGAAAAATTTGCCTTTTAGGCTTAAGCAGTCTGAAAGGCGTAGTATCCTCCAACAGTAGAGAACCCACTGATCTGGGAACCATGCATCTATGTTTTAATTTCTCTGTTTGGTCATTGTTTCTGGTCCAGCAAAGAAGTGCATAAACGTAGAGTGTTTTGAAATATACTGTAAAAAGATGCAGACTTTGGCTACCATATTTGCTTCAACAGTTCATGTATTCAGATTACATACTCAGTAAGAAAAATGGTGCATTCCATCCATCAGTCCTGTCACCACAAATACACCATTAATCCTCTTACGTTTCCTTTAATACAACCAAGAGGCCAATTTAACATTTTGAGTCTAATTTCTTAACATCTAGCGCACAGATTGTCTTTAAATTTCCAGCACGTTTTCATTTCCCTTTTTATCAACTTTCAGCAGAGTTTGGTGCCTTTAAAGGCTATGTGTACTTTCTGTGCAGGCATAGGCTGTGAAGGATATAAGACTACCTCTTGGAAGTGTGAACTTTACATTTGGTGTTCTCTGTAGCGGCGAGAAAGGGATGAATGTGACCTAAAGCTGGAGCATATTACCTTCTCATGCATGGATGGATGGATTCAAAAGAGTGATTCGGACCGGAAGCGAGCAGCAGAATCATTTTCTCGTAGAAGTCTTTACACTCACGGGGTCGCCCTCTGGTGGCCCTTAGAAAGAATGAAGGTGTAGCTCTTTACACCTTGAAACCTTGCATCAGAAGGTAGTGAGGGTGGTCTCCAGCTGTGCAGTTACCCTTGGAAATACAATGGAAACTATTCTAACCTATTAACCAATTAAAAGCGCTTTGGGGTCCTTAGGGACCAGTAAAGCGCTATACAAATACAGGCCATTTACCATTTTAAAAGGTAAGAAAACTACAGGTGCAGACGAGGTCATCAGATGTCGTCTTTATGGGGGAAACAGTTAAGGGCTTCAGAGCCCATGTTCGTGTTTCCCTGTGATGGGCTACCCTGGCTTTTACCCAGTAACATCTGGGATAGGCTCCAGCCCTCCCAGGACCTTGAACTGATTAAGCAGTTCAAAATACAGTTTGATGACTGCATTCATCTTTTAAATACAGTTTATACACAATTCAGGAACCTTATATAAGTGTAGTTAGTAAACCTTAGTAAACCTTTAGGTGTCATTATCAGGCATCCACTCCCTTAAACGTATTTATAAGACATTTTTAATCAGGTTATTTCAGTTCAAGGTGCTTTAAGAATGATTCCCATGAAGAATAAATGTAAAACAAAAGAAAAATTCTAGTTTAAAGTAGCATATAATATTTTATTTAACATGCAGCAACTGAAGTAAATAAAATAAGATAAATAAAAGCAAAAAAAGAATAAAAAAGATTAGCTAAATGGAAGCCGTGAAGTCATTAATCATGCCCTTTTATTCTTTGTGGTTTTATTGAATGCAATCTGGACTCAGTTACACACTTAGTGACAGAACATATTAGAGATAGGATTAGTTGACATGTATCAAAAATCCAGAGCCAAATTTAAACCCACGCTATCACAAACACGCGGTCTGCTATCCAAGATTTTGAAAACACTCAGAGACCCCTGAGTGCGCCCTTATTGAATCCAGCCATCGGAATGAAACCTTGTTTCCGGCTGGAGTCGGAAATTTCACCAAGCGCTGGCGAGGCTGCAATGCAAATAGCATGACATGAAAGGATTAATTTGAAAACAGGCCCATTAGTGGTCATCACTCACTGCCAGCTTCAGCGGCTGTGGAGCTACCAGCTGGTTTCAAACCGAGGAACTTGCTCCCACTCTGTGAAAAATTATATAAAGTGACAGAGCGAGTTTACATCCAGCATCTGCAGACAGCGTTTGTGCCTTCAGCTGTGTTAGCACAGGCACGTTTGAAGAATGTCACTTAAGTTCAAGTGTCAGCTAAATAATAAGAAAACGGATCATTCAGGGTGAGCTGGAGTGTGGGCAGACTCCAGGTTTGTTGTGCGTCTGTTGTTGTGTGTGGTCTAATCATAGATTGTTGCCACTGTGACATCACCCATTGGTTCTGAAGCCTCGGCGTTACCATTTTGGCCCCTGCTATGTTGTTGTTTTAGAGCTAGTAGCAACCATATACAAGTTATTAGCAGAGCTTGGTTAGCAAGGTGCATAGCTGTAGAGCACAGGTATCTAATTATTGCTAAATACAGACTGATTGGACCACACAGAAAGCCGTATTATTTGTCACACAATCCAAATAAAATGTTCCAAATGGCACCAGCAGCACAAAAACCTGTTGGGAGATCTAGTTCTGTGTCTCGAATTAGTGGACATGAGGCAAATCTTTAACTTTTAAGACTTAAAAATACAAAAATGGGTTCATTATAAAAATCCTCATACACCATACAGATGTTCATATGTAAAACTATCCATAGAGGCTAAAGCTGCTTTTGGTCCCAGGCTGTGAACATATTTATTTCTGCTGTAAAGTTGGACATTTTAACATGTGAAGTATTTGGACGGACTTGGTTTTGGAGTCAACCTCATGTGGCCGTTAGAAGAAC